GAATGAGTGTCTGAGCACAGGGATGAGGACGCAGTGGCAGCCTGCCCAGAGCATCACCCACCGCCGGACAGGACAGCCCACCTATCCGCAGCTAAGCTCTGCTGACAGCACGGGCCTGAGAGGGTTACTCTTCCCTCTGTTGCCTCTAGAATGACGACTGTGGACTGAGACATCTGCGGGCTATGACTTTTGTGCTTTGCCTCCAACTGAAAAAGCTGCGAGGCAGGCGCCAGTCCCTCTGACGCTGTCTCTGGCTTCTCCACCTGCCTACATGGGGCTGCACACACCCCACCTCTTTCTTTGGCCTCCCTGCCAAGACTGAACGCAGTAAGGAGCTGCGTATTTGCTCTCACTCTTCCTAAGTTACTGGATGAAAATGCCCACTGTTTTGAAGTGAAGAGGTTAAAGATCAAAACAGTGACTGCCCCTGCAGAGTTTAAATGTCAGAAAAATCTGAACATGCTTGAAACCTTTCCTGGCTCTTTGTGATTCTGCCCTTTCAGACTGTCCCCCCTATTTCTAAGTTCCATTCTCTGAATCTGTGCTGCTGGAGACTTGCAGGCTATAAAAAGCTCCTTCACCCCAGGACGGAGTGCAGAGAGCCCCCAGGGCACCCCAGTCAATGAGGGGAACCTGTCGGCAGTCGCGGACCCGCCGCCAGCTGCCCCCAGCCCTCCACTGCTGCCCACACCCGGGAAAAGGGTCTAATGAGGAAGAGGGCAAGGGCTTGCTGACAGTCCCTGCTGCAGACAAAAGGCAGGTCCCACTTAGCTTCACAAGGTCAGATTTGCCACAGGACCTCGTGGGAGCATCTTTAACCCAGGGAGGCAGGCACAGCCCAAGGAGAATTTGACGGTGTGTGCTTCCATCCTCCTATCTCCAGACACTATTTTCCGAAAATACAAAGGCGAGTGTAAGCTTGGCTTGGCTCTGGAGGCAATGCCCTTTTCTGCCCTCGGCTTTGTCACATTGAGGGGAAAGACCTGGGAGGGCTTCCCGCCTTCCCAGCAGGCCTCTCTGTGCGGTGGCCACTGCTGCTACTTGTGGTCACTGCAACCACATGAGCACCAAAGAAAGGCAGTCCTGGGGTTCTCCACCAGGGCAATGCAGGGAGGACTCCTCCAATGATACGAGCAGAGCTGATGCGGGTGGCTCCGGGTTCCCACCTCAGACGTGGGGTGCAGTTACTGCATCCACCAACATGGTTAGGACATGTGGGGTCTGTTTTCTGCCTGAGAAATGCCCTCTGACTGGTGACCAAAGAGCTTCCTTGCCCGTGTCCTGTTCCAGTCACTTTCACTCCTGTTTCAGGTGGAGCCTTTGCAGGTAAGGCTGATAACCACGCCTTGCCCACCAGTCTCTATGCATGGGCGTGCGCAGGCAGATGACGGGCAGAGGGAGTGTTCGCCACTCTGCTCTCAAGTGGTGTCTTTCTGGGAAATGCTACCAGCAGCATCAGTCAGGACATCCAAAATTTAAGTCAGTGGACAGGAAGAAAATAGGCTTCCAAGAAAAAGCTGATCCTAAAAAGCAGACTTTAGAAATGGTGCCACCTCATCTGTCCTTCTGGCACTTTGAGTTTGGAATGTTGAGCATCAGCCCGTCACCTGGGCCAGGACTTCAGAATCGGCAATGAACAAAGTGGTCCCAGCCTTGCTTTCAGGGCACAGTCTGGCTGTGGAATAGGAAGGCCTGCCCTCTGAGCACCAACATGGCCCGAGATGAACACAATGAAATAAGCACAGTGCAGTCGCCCCCCAGCCCCATCCCGTCACGACTCCTCGTCACACACTCTGTATCCTCTCCACCAACGTCTTCCACAAGAACAAAATCCCAGCCCTTCCCACGTAACGATGATTAGTTGAAAGCTGTACTGATAAAGGATTAAACTTAATTCTGTACTACATTATTTTCCCAAATAGGCTTCATTTGACAGCAAATAGACAATGTTTTGGTAGAGAAGGAAGAGGATGCTGTAACCCACTATTTCTCACCTGCCCCTGAAAAAGGAAAAGAACCTCAACGTTAGCTGCCCTTCCTTTGAATCAGGACGCTCTACCACCTGTCTCCAAATTGCAGTCCTTTAACCTAGTACAGGTCAGTATCAGAGGTCAAGTCCATATAGTTAAAAAATAGGTGAAGGGAGGGATGATAAAGGCATCTTAGAAAAAGCTCTGCACAGGGGCAGACAACATGCCATTCACCAGTGGAGATAAAAATTCCTCTCTACAAATTCATCCATTTTTACCGCTTCAAACACATTACATAAACCACAAGGAGGGAACCGGTGAGTGTTCCCGAATCTCCCCAACTAGCTAATATCAAATTTTAAACACTGCTGCTGCGTGTGTTTGTAGTTTTAAACAAATATAAAGAGTGCTGTGGCAGGCTACTTTTTAGGGAGGTAGAATAAAAATACAGCACTGACTCTCCAAATCTGTGTTTCACACATTTTACGACTGCCTATTAAACTTTCTGCCTGCATTCAAAAATACTTAATACTACACAGAACATTAAAAAATACATGCTGCAAAGGCAAGCCTGTGCAAGCCCCTCCCTAGACATATGTGGTATCTGAATGGAAACTGGCCACTGTTAAAATCCCAGAGTGTGGGTCTGTGATGCTCACGGCCCTCTTTTGTGGAGCCGGAAAGTAACTTGTTCCAGGACCACAGAGGACACTGAGATAAACCCAAAAACTGTCTTAACATTCCTGACTATGAAAGCGGCACAAGATACAGTTAATGCGCAGTGTTCCTTCTCAGAATGTGTTTCGGCCAGCTGCTGGGGAAAAAGGGACAAGAGCGTTTGGCCTGGACAAAGTCAGCAATTAAAGCTGAGCTTTGTGTGTGCTGAGCAAGTAAATGCCTTGGGTGTGGTCACTTATACAAGAAAGCCCAGACTGCGATGCGGCTGTCTGCGCTCAGGGTTGTCTGCACTCACGTCCTCACGTGACTGCGTACTTCCTTCCCAGAGGCTCTGACCCAGAGGGGAGGCTGTTTTCTCCTTTCTCCATCTAGGCAGCTCGGCTGGGTAAAGGGGTGTGAAGAGAGTCAGTGCCATGACTGTCTTTTTAAAATAAACTTTTAATTTTGGGCCGGTTTCAGATTTACAGGAAAGTCACAAAGATGGTACACACAACTCCCATGTGCCCCTCCAGTCCCCTCACTGTTAGCATCTTTCATTACCAGGTCCTTTGTCACAACTAAGAAAGCAATACTGATTACTTATTATTGACTAAACTCTAGACTTTATCTGGATTTTACCAGTTTTCCCATTAATCTGCTTTTTCTGTTTCAGCAGCCAACACAGGGTAGTGTGCTGAATTCAGTTGTGGTAAGATTGCGACTCTGCAATGCTTACACAGGGTCCCTCCAGGTGCGGTGTTGAGCCTCAGACTCCCTTGCTTCCCCCTCACTGTAAAGGGCCCAGGGAACAATGTGAAACTGATGTACGTTCAACACCGTGAGAGGGCTGGTCCACTTCGCTCCTTGGGTGCAAAAGCCCCATGCTCACTGCCTAATGGGAATGCGTGTCCTTTGGGGGTGATAAAAATTTTTGGAACTAGAAAGAGGTGGTGGTTGCACAACATTGAAAGTCCTAGAAGCTATGGAACCGTTCACTGTAAAGTGGCTGATTTTATGTTATATGAATTTCACCTCAATTGAAAAATAAACAAATGGGCGCCCTACGCTGCGCCGCCTGGCACACCCTGGACCCAGTTGTTACTCAAGTGCGGATAACTTAGGCCTAGCTTTCAGAAGATGTCCCTCCACCACGTCAGTCCTTTCGGTGGCTTCTGCTGAACTGAGAAGACAATCCAAATTCTGCACCAGGGCCCAGAGGCTCCTGCCAGCCCCCACTTCCGCCCGCCTCCCGCACGCTCCTGCCCGCGCACAGGCTCCTGCAGCTCTGGACCGCGCCACGCCCCTCCTCCCCGGGAGGTTCCACCTCCCACACGGCTCTCCACACGGCTAGCTCCTCCTGCTTCCTGTCTCAGTTTAAATTTTGCTGCATAAAGGCTCCCGTGACCACCCTGGTGTGAAGGAGGCCCCTCTTGTTCTCGACCACAGCCCTCTAGTAGCATCCTGAGTTAGTTATTACGCCTCCTAATTTGTCTTGTTTCCCTGTATTCCTAGCACAGTGCTTGGCATGTGGCAAAGGGGCTCAATAAATGATTGTTGTTGAACTTGAAGAGACAATGAATAACGAATTTACGACCAACTCTACTGTGTGCACTGCTGGATGGAAGCAGAGACAGAGGATGAGAGAACTGAAGACAGTGGCTGGTGCCTGGCAGGGGGGCTGGCCTGGTGCCATGGAGGGGGTAGGAACCCTCAGAAGCCCCAGGTATTGAGCTGGTCCAGGGAAGGGACCCTTCCACCAACGGGAGCTGGGAAATGAATTTTCTCTGGTCACATTTCACTTTTTCCGACATTTCCGAAACAGTATTTCTCGAGAAAGCCCAACATCTGAAAAAGATGTCACTGTAGTATAAAGTGAGGGTGGGGCCAGCCTGCTTCCCCCAGTCCATCCCCGAAGGCAGCTGTGTCCGTTACAAGGGCTGTGAGAAACTGCGCTTAAAGACTGCGGGTTGAGCTTAGAACAACTCAAAAGCCTCTGTTTTTTTTTAAGGTGTAATTCATAAATAGCAAAATTCACTCTTTGTAGATATATAGTTCCGTGAGTTTTGAAATATCATTGTGTAATCACCATAATTAAGACATAGAATGCATAGAATATTTCCATCACCCTAGGGACA